AGCTGGTTGGATAAAGTTATAATGAGCAATACGCACATACATCTTAAAGCATTTTTATGAGAGCCAAGAAATTTGTATAAAACCTTCATGCATTTTGAATGCACCTCTGTTGACTCTTGACACTTGTTTGCCTAAAACTTTATTTTTGGGACGAAAAATTGAATATTAACTTATGAATGTATAATATAACCCTTATTTTTTATGTTAGTTGAACATCCTTAACGTAACAAGTAGTAATTGTTTTGTTAAGATAATGCTAAATGTTTATCAAAGTTTAAAAAACTATAACTAAATTTTTCAAATTTATTTTATGAATTTGTGTTTTATGTTTTAGCAATTGTTTTACTTATTTATGTGAGTCATAATTTTACTATGTCTATTATAGGGCATAATGCCTATTCTTGGGGAACTAAATAATTATCTAACCCTAATTGTTTCGAAAAATCAACACATTAATCCCATATCTTAAGAGTTGACAAGTATTGATTTATTACTGAAAGCTTGAAATATTCTTAATGGGTTAAACATTTTTAAATGTATATATACATGTATGTATATATATTTAGGTATCCTAAAGGTTTAATTATTACAAATATATGAGATAAGAACTTAAGTTTAGTTTGTTATTCTTAAGACTTTTTCATGTACCGGGCAAAATTACACGTGTTCTCCAGCGTTGTGTTTAACCTTTCTAATAACTCAATTCTAGTACTCTGCATAGTAGGTAGAAAAATATTGTTCAATTTCTTTAATGACATCTTTCTGTGGCGACGTCTCCGTACTAATTTTTAAAGAGAAATTCGCATCAGCCTTCCTTAACCTAGGGGGAATTCATCGAAATCTGTATGAAACTGTATGAAACTGAGGTCGTTGGAGAATCCTCGAAATCAGTGATGTTTCTACCAACAAAAAGAATTTTTTAAAAAATATTCAATGTTGTGCATGCTCGTTTTGTGAAATGTATTAGTGTCGTCCTAATAAATATATTTCAAAAACTGACATGAGGACTGATGGATTTGAATTGAACACGTAAACAATTTATTATTCGGCTTACGCCACACTAATGTGTTGTCAAATATTCGGCTTCACAACATAATAAGAAATACAATAAGAATAACGTTGCTTGGGGACAGATTGAGGATGTAAGAAAATTTCAGTCACATTGCTTTTTCCCCAAAGTTACCAAGAGAGTTGAATGGTTATTCCATTGACGAAAGAAAAACAGAAACCTTTGAATATTATACACCACTCTTTTTTGATCAGACCATCACGCGATTTATGTAATACACTGTAGTAATAGGCACTAACAATGTCATGGCCCTTCTCCTGGTAATTTAAGATGACACAATGATATTCTGCTATAAAAGGCAGCATAAATCTTTTCCTGTCCATTTCTTCCACTTAATCTACATGGGTGGAGATGAGTGCATACCCTCATGGACCATCCCTTTAGTCTCTGCATCATATTGCAGATTCAAGAATCATTCACTGTTAACACGTGACCAAAAAACCTCTTTGCCTTACTCCAAAAGTTTCAATATGTACTATGATTATTCGAAACATGTTTGCTCTAAGAAGGAGTAATAGTTCGTAGAACCGAGAATCTTTGACATACGATGTCCTTAACAAAAAATATTCCACGCACTGTGTCATAACTTAAATCAGTATCACTCATGATTATATAGAAGGTTGATCTTCGTCCACTAGTGCCTTCTTGGATCTTTTTTGAAAGGGGTATTGTGAGGTTGAAAATCCCTGTTCAACTTCACTATATTGTTACGTGTTGGTGTAGCATCATCACATCAGACAAACACTTCAGGAGAATACTTGTTAAGTTTGATTCACGGGGATGAGCATAATGCCCAAATGGGACAATGTATTCCTCAAAAGGAGACCGTGTATTGTTTCCTTTATGCCTGGGGACAAAACAGAAAATGAACCGATTCTGATAATAGCTTCAATGATACCACACCTCTTCGCTCTCCAATATACAGAGAACTTTACTCACAACGATTAATAGAATAGACACTCCTGTTGAACAGTTCGTTCCTTAGTGCATATGGACCGTGAATTATTTAAATGAGAAAATAATGGCAGTATGCTGTGATAAAGACAAACTCAAGATGATGCTCTCAGTGTCAAAGTAACATATCGATTGGTAGACCATCCATATGGTGAACGAAGTACGGCGACGTAGTTGAAATCAGTCATGATGACCTATTATCTCAAAACCCATTTGAATTAGAACCCAAATGGAGGGTGCCGGGTGCAGACCCGCTCACCAATCAGATATTATTGGAAGCGTGAAAGAGGCTCGAAAAGGGGGTTTAGAGTGTCGGTTCGGAAGACGACGAATAATTCTTCATCAGCTGTTTTTTTTCTTCTTCCTCGAGCGCATGCGAAAAAGGTTGTAGGAGCATTGGTTCCAGTGATTTATCGTGGAAGATATCAGAGAAAGGGGTTGTGGGGACAGCCACATAAAGATCTACAAATATTAAACTGAACTTGAACAGTTCTCTATTGAAAGGCTGCGTATATTATAATTTAATATTTATTTAAATTATTGAAAAAATTGAAATAAAATGTATTTTGGCCAAAAACTGTGCAATTCCACTTGCTATTAAGAAATGAGGTGATTTTGAGAAATCACTACGTCACAGTGGGCTATCATTTAAAAAAAAAGACCTACTTTCCCCCTGAATTGTTAGTATCTAACCTTTCAAATTAATAAACTCTTAGTGCAAAGCTCTATATTCACCTGACTGTGGGGTACTTAAATTTGTGGCTTTCTGACACCAAATAATGATCCGTAAGTATTGATTAATTTTCAATAATAATCAAAACTTCATGATGCATCAAAGTATTTATATTCAAAATCCGGTTTGTTTGCATAAGGACTTATAAAACTATTGAAACATCCTAATAAAAATTTTCTGAAGTTAAATTAAAGTTCCCAAAAAATACTAGCGTAGTAAGGTTTTAAAATTCAATTACGCCGTACATTTGATATTTTTTATCTAATATAATTTACAAATTCGCTTTAAAGTAATTCTAGATGACAGAAAATTGGGCATTGTTCTCAAGACTTCTCATTCGCCACACGTTCCAATTCCATGTTCCCATTTTATTCGAATAAAATGTGTTCAAAAAACACATTCATGAAATTTTGACGTGGAATGCATGCTAATGTGTATGAAGTGTAACAATTGTGATTTTGAGAACGCACATAAAACATTACGGAGAAGTAAGAATTGAAGCAACTGGGAATGTTTCCGTAAGCCGGAAATCCTGTAGTGTAAATAAAAAACAGTTTGGAATTTTTTTTCAGAACAAAAACAGAAAAATGGTTAGGAAAGCCAAGTTATCAATTTGATTTGTGTTTATGCGAGAACATTGGGAAAGGAAAATGAAATTATTTATAAGTAAGTGCATTTTCTGATGTGTATTTTTAGTTCTGATGAGTATCAATAGAATATATATATATATATATATATATATATATATATATATATATATATATATATATATATATATATATATATATATTTATTTATTTATTTATTTTCTATACTTTAATAACTGATAATTGTTACAAAATGTCAAATATATCTTAAACATTTTTAACAATTTTAATCGCAGTTATATTTAATATAGGGCTCTCTATGTAGAAAGTTTGGTTAAAGTATTTTATCTTCACACGTTTAGTATAACTACCATCCTACTTTTACGTGTTATGAGTTTATATATATTCAAAACAGAAGAGAGACAAAAAGTACTATCATGATTTTCTAAGAAATAAATACCAAGTGTTTTAAATTTATTTCATTTCTGATAAATGGAAGGATATAAACATTGTTACTGATTAATACACTGTTATGTTGTATTTTCAATTCCAAATATTAGTTCACTCTTTCTCTCTCTATATATATATACACATATATATATATATATATATATATATATATATATATATATATATATATATATATATATATATATATATATATATATATATATATATATATATATATATATGTATATGATTTCAAAGTCAGCATGTTAGTAGTCTTGCTGTGTGAAGGTTATATTATAACATTCTCTTCTCACAGTTTACATTTTTTCCCAAAACACATCTTGAACATCTTACACACTTAAAAATTTCTACACATTTCTGACAACCAACCAATTCATAGCCTATCAAATTGGATTGTCATATCTCTTGGCATCTATTTTTGCTGGCTGGTTTAAAACATGCGCTTATGTATAATCTGTTTTTTTTAACTCAGTGAATAGTAGCTTTCCATTAATTTCAAGGCTCCTTTGGAAAAAGCTCTGTGTGTAGAAGTTTTGTAAGATTATTTTTTGAAAAGTCCTTTTTACATGATTTTTTGGTAATATTTTTAGGAATTTTCTGCATTAAAAGATTTTAGGAGAGTTTGTTGCAGAATAGTAGTCGGTGGTTTTCCCATACATTCTGTGAGTTTTTATATACTTTTAATTTGTATTCGTTTTATTTGATTTTTCCTACCGAGTTGCAAAAGAGGAAGGTTGGCGCCTTCAAACAAGTTTGACCCTACTTATACGGTCCTAAGTGTGAAATTGCTATCTGACTTGCTATTTTCTTTTTTTGTACTTCCTTTTTTTCGTATTTTTCTATAAATTCGATGTTCATGATTTGATTTATACTTTTATTTCGTTACTTCTTGTTATGTTCAATTTCTATTATATCTTGTTTTAATATATTATGTATAAGTTTCTTACATATATATATATATATATATATATATATCTTGTTCAATTTTTCAATCATTAATAAAATACTCTCTATTCATCCATTCAAGTTTAAAAAAATACATTTTTTTAAACTTGTGGAGGATGATACTTGATGTTATTACAGTTGATTTCAAATATTAATTCATTCATTAAATTAAAAATGAATAAATAGTTACGAACAGATGTAATACTCCAACACATATATAGCAAGGAAAATTGCTCTCCGTGTGCCTGTGGCGCAATGGATAGCGCTTTGGTCTTCTAATCCAAAGGTCGTGGCCTGGAATCCCAACTGATATGCCCTAATTTCAGAAAATGTGATTTCTTTTTGACTCTTTTTTTGAATAATTATGTTTAGTTAATGAATAAATAGTAACAAACAAACAAAATAGTCCATTACCACATATATAAATAAAAATGGAAAAAAAGGGGGTTTTTTTGCTACTTAAAAGTGTGATTCAGTCATATGTATATACATATTTATATTAATTGTAACTATTTAATAAAAAAGTAACTAATTTTTTCCTTTGTTGATCTAAGAGGGAACGAACTTATTTTTTGTATTACTTGTTTACAGTGCATTAAGAAACATTTTCAATTATAATTTCCTGTGAATACGTAAAAACTTCAGTTTTTCTTGAAAATAATTCTTATTTCCATAAAAGGATATTCTATACGAAATATAAAACACAGACACATATATACATATATACATATAAAAGGATATTCTATACGAAATCTAAAACACAGACACATATATACATATAAAAGGATATTCTATACGAAATCTAAAATACAGACACATATATACATATAAAAGGATATTCTGTACAAAATCTAAAACACAGACTCATATATACATATATACATATAAAAGGATATTCTATACGAAATCTAAAACACAGACTCATATATACGTATATATATAGATAGAAAATATTTGTCCTTGCAATTAATGTAAAAGAAAAAGGTTTATTTTATAAAACAATCTCAGTAAAAGATATTATAAATGAAGAAATCTTTGACGTTTTAAAATCCAATGATGATTTCATTTCACATATTTTAGGGAAATATCCTTATTTCGAGAGTTGAATTTTTTTTAAGGCAATATATGCATTAAAAAATTCCCTGAACACCTCCGAGGCGCATCGACTTCTTCCAATTCAGTCTTTTCTTTTGATTCTTGAAACTACTTCATGTAAAAAAAAATATTTAACGAAGTAAAACTGAGTTTCCTTTTGACAACAAATCTTGTTACAAAGAACTTTGTTGCTTTTAACTTAGCAACGATTGTTGAGTAAATATTCTTCATTTCTAATAATAAGCTTAGATGATTGCTATTTATTCCAGTTTTTAATACTACTTATTTTAGACTGCTTCAATCCTTCCTGTTATTTTATGGGAAACAATATATAAACTCTTCACCCTTAAATTATAAAATTGGACACTCACAAATTTATCTGTACCTCCTGTGGCTCACATTTAAGTCTGTTATTTATCATTACTTTGCTAGATTGCTTCCAGTACTCATACTTTATATTATTTTCGAATCATGCAAGGATTATACGTCAATATTGTTACGAATTATATGTGTAAAGAGTTCTTAAACTAGTGTAAATAATTTTTATTTAGATGTTTGAAACGCTTATATTACTCAATATTGCAGTTATTTTATATTAAAATTGTAATAATCGCAAGCGACACCGTTTCGTACATTATAATGGCGATTCAATGGAAACTTGTCAAAATCTTGACGATAGAGCCAAATTGGCGTCATTTTGGCGACCATGTTAGCGGCGACTTTCCCAACCATTTTGGCGACCATTTTTGGTGAATCCCTGATCATATGGATTCTTCTGGAAATTACAGGAAAAATCTGCTAATATCATTTTGAGGACGGCTGGCCGATATAAAGGCCAAAAGGAACAGACCTTTAAAGACAGCTAAATCGGCGCCACGCAATGCTTTTCCCTCTTAACAGCTTTCGAAACAGCATTATTACAGACCTGGAAAATCATTTGCTTGACCGGTTTCTTTTGTATTTAAAAAGGAGGGGAATACAGTTCCCTCTTTCACCCTTATCTAGAAATCCCTCTTTTTTTCCCTTATGCTTAAATTCTCACTAGCGGAGAGTGCATAGTTATTTTTCAAGCGATTTTGTCATCTCGATAACCTAATCATTTCATTTTTAAACCAATCTGATTTTTAAAAAATGCCTAAACGTAAAAGGGGACTTACCACTGATTAAATTCAGAAAGTTTTAGCAGATTTAGAAGATTAAGTTTTTGATGATTCTGATTCCGATTCTGAGTTAGAAAATGAGGAAGATGATCTGATCTCTGCTCAGCAAAAGTAACACATTGTTAAAAGTTTTGTGTAATAAACGCTCAAAATAGCGTAAATAATTTATGTCTAAAAGTGTAATATTACTTTCCGTGGTATTTATTTTATGTTAAAATTGTAATATTCGCAAGCAATGCCGTTTCTTAAATTATAAAGGCGATTCAATGAAAAACATAGTGAAATGTTAACGATAGAATCAAGTTGGCAAATGTCTAGCTACTGTCAGAACTCGAGCTTTATTAGAACTTTGTAAGACCCGCCGTGTAGGGGAGTGATGCACGTTAATACTTTATCCACCGCATTAGGATTTACTGCAGGTTTTTTCATACAATATATTTTTTTGGATCACTACATTGAAAATTAAGGGATATACATAAACAAAAATACTCCACTTTGGGAAATTTAATCCGTTAGAGCTAATAAATTAATTAAAGATATTCCACTGTAAAATTAATTGTATACACCGTTCACTTAAAATAAATAGTCAAATCGTTTTCAAAGAATATTCCTGTTAAGTATTGGTAGAATATTCCTTCTCTAAATTGACGGTGTGGTACTTGCGAGAAGGGGTGCCAGCTCAGGTGTCATCCACGTCACTTGACCATGGCTTAAAATTACGTGGTCCGTTGCCAAAAGCTTTACAGTGCGACGTTAATATTAACTAACTCAAAAATACAGTACAGTATATATAATTATTTTTATACTTAAAAATGCAATTTCCGCCTATTCAATTAAAATTACAGCGTTATAATTAATTACTAAACAGAAACAAATTTTGAAAACTTGTCCAAATGATGTAGTGTGGAAGAGAAAGTTTATTTACTTTAAGTACCATAACGGATAAAAGCATTTATTGTGAAAAATAGATCAATTTCTTAATTCCAAATGTGCATAATAAAATCATAAAAAAGGCATTCAAATAAAGAGATGTATAACAACCTCTCCCTTCAAAACTTAGTTTTATTCTGAAATATAAAAAAAATTAGGGATTATGCTGATCACAGGAATTAATTAGAAGCGAGCGCCATGCGTAGCCAAAACAAAAGGGTTTCTTTACAAACAAAAGATATATATATGCTGTCGTGGGCTTTTTTGCAGCACACGCCAGAATTGCTTGGAATGGCAGAATTTTTCCTACCTACTTGACAAATATCGTTATATTTTGGACACTTCACACAATATTTTTATAAATTATAGCCTATGTGTTCTTCTGATGTATAAGCTATATTACTGTAAAGTTTCATTAAAATCCATTCAGTTGTTTTTGCGCGAAAGACGGCCAAACATCCTCACAAACTTTCACATTTATAATACATATCTAGATTACACAATGTATTACTGTACAGAAACGTATTTTTTTACTGTTATCTTACGTTATGCTGAATGAAGAATTTTTTAAAAAATTTATATTGAAGCATAAAAAAAAAAAAGTGTATTTTTTAATGGTGTATAAACAACAAAAAGAAAAAAAGAAAAGATATTTACAACAAAAAATTACAGAAATATTCGTTACAGATTCTTAAAATTATCCATTTTAATCCTTCGACTTTATTTATAAAATGCACAAGAAACTAACTTCGACATTTTTATTATAACAATTGATGTATAAAAAGTCAGTATTCGAACCAGAAACTCTTAATTCCGATATAATTTCTTTGAAATTTGTAGAAAAACATATATTACAAGCTCTTCAACATAAGAAAAAGCCTCGATTTATACAAAAACCTTAAAAGCAAAAATAAATTCCTTGCTTTTGTTACACAATTATTCTTTGAAAGTTCTACAGTGTTGGATTTCCTGATTAAAAAAAAAAAGTAAAGTGTCCTTTATAATAATAATTACAAAAAATTTGCAAAAATGCTCTAAAATCTATCTGAAGAATAAATATAATCAGAACGTAGTCTAATAGATAGTTATATTGAAGTAAAAAAATGTGTTTGTTCTCTTTTTTTTTTTCGCCCAGTTATTCGTGAGTCACACTTTTTAGGTATGATAGTACAAAGAAAAAAGTGTTCGTTTGCGCTCTAAGGCTATTCAACTTTTGAAACTCTGAATACAGAATCAGATGGTTCTTGTAAATGAGCATGAAAGCAGGTTGTAAAATCTTTTATATCGATAAAGAATGCTTGCCCTCTTGATTATTGTTGATGCTTTAGTTTTTGGTCATTGTTGATTATCCTATGCCTTTTTTTTGGTGTAATAAAACCTAGAAGTGCACATCTGCCTTCTTGTAAATATTCAAGGTTGCTTTCAAGTAGCCGGAAAACTATTCTTCCTCTAGTTGCCGTAATAAATCTTTAGAGAGTGCATTTCCTTTTCAATGAAATTATCGTACATAGGATAAATAGAAACTATGCCGACCAAGCCCTTCTTCAAGAATGTCCTATTCTACTTGGCGAACGTTATTAGGAGAATGAAAGTAACCCTCTTCGGGAACTGATATTGTGTTAGATTTTGCGAGATAAGGTAAAAAGCACCCAATCACTTAGGGCAGTGATCCGCAACCCCGGTCCATGGATCAAATGGTGCCGGGCTATCTAAAGAACATTAAACTATATTGCCATTTTATTTAAAGTGGTGCATTTCTCTCGGATTTGCGCAACTTTCAGAAGAAATCACTTTTATTCATTTTTGGTGTAACTATATTTTATTCTGCAGGCATATTTAAATGTAACTAAAATAAAATTGTTAAATCAAAACAATCTAAAATATAAATAATCAACGTGTGCACAAACTCACACACCAAAGTCAGTTCATTACCGCACAAAAAATCAGAGCTGTAATCTTAGAATTTAAGCAATAATATGCAATTATTTTGAAATTTTAAATAAAAAGTAAGGATTATTCAAAGGTTAAAAATATCCTTTTTGTACAAAAAGTGAAGAAAAAAATTAAGAAGTCCCAATATGTTACCTTTACTCGCAAAAGAAACAATTAATTAGAAATAAGAATAATAT